GGTACAGCCTCGAGTTTACAAGCACTCCCCCATCGGTAATGTTCTCACGTCCCACCCCTGTTCCATCAGACAGAGAACAGCGGAGGGCATTGGAGAAAGAAATAGAAACCCTGCTATCAAAGCAAGCAATTCAACCGGTGCGAAGCCCAGTAGAAACATCAGGTTTCATGTCAACATTCTTCGTAACACCCAAGAAGAAGCAAGGCGAGTGGCGTCCTATTCTGAACCTAAAGCCGTTGAACAGGTTTATTCGTCCACGGCGGTTCCAAATGGAGACCCTGCGCACCGTCTTAAATTCTCTCCCGACACCATCTTGGGCCGCATCAATAGATCTGCAGGATGCTTATCTTCACGTACCCATTTGCAGGGAACACAGAAAATACCTTCGTTTTCAATACAAAAATACAATTTTCGAGTTCCTCACTCTTCCGTTCGGTCTGTCAACATCACCAAGGGTCTTCACCAGAGTAACAAAGACCCTGGCGACAATACTTCGAAGAGCGAATATAATGATATTCCTCTACCTGGACGATTGGTTAATCGTAGGCAGGTCCAAAGAAGAAGTTCGACAGTCCTTAGAGGTAACCGTCGACTTGACGACAAGGTTAGGTTTTCTAATAAACTTGGAAAAGTCTCATCTGGTCCCCACCCAGACACCGTCTTTTCTGGGGGCAGAAATCGACCTGGTAACAGGGATCGCTTACCCTTCGAGCGAAAGGGTACGCAATGTCCAGGAGTGCGCCACACTGTTCCTGACGGCTCGATCAGCACCAGCGGTGGCCTGGCTACGACTGCTGGGCCTACTGGCCAGTCTGGTCGATCTAGTCCCATGGTGTCGCCTGAGGATGCGACCAATTCAAATGCATCTTTTGGCTCATTTTCGACCCAGTCAACATCCTTTGTCAAGGAACATACCAATACTGAAGCCAATCATCCCCCACATTCATTGGTGGACAATTTGGAGCAACCTGAGTCAAGGTTTGCCTTTTCCTCCTCCATTTCCCACGGTGACTCTTACGACAGATGCATCCAACATGGGATGGGGTGCGCATCTGCAGTCACAGCAAGTGTCGGGTCTTTGGACGCCAGACGAACTGGTTTTCCACATGAATGTTCTGGAACTCCTTGCAGTTCGCAGAGCCTTATCTCAGCTCATCAGCCTAGTCAAACAGAAGGTTGTAATGGTGCAGTCCGACAACTCAACTGTAGTGGCCTACATAAATCGCCAAGGAGGAACACGTTCCCCCCAGTTGTGCTTCCAGACTTGCAAGCTACTCCTTTGGTGCATAGATCACAACGTAACTCTTGTGGCATGTCACATACCAGGCGAGTTGAATGTCACTGCAGACGCGCTGTCCAGAGGAAAGATCCTTCCAACAGAATGGCAACTACACCCAAAAGTTGTCCAAACACTGTTCAATCTAATAGATCGTCCCAACATAGATCTATTCGCGTCACCAATGAACAACCAATTACCGGTATACTGCACTCGAGTCATGGATCCAAAAGCCTGGGCAGTCAATGCCTTAACAATCGACTGGACAGGCATGTACGCATATGCATACCCACCGATCTCGATTCTCTCGAGGGTACTGCACAAGATCCGGGAGGAACCCTGCAAGGTGATGCTCATAGCTCCATTTTGGCCTCGCCAAACCTGGTTCCAAACGATGATCAGGTTGCTGGTTTATCAGCCCATCATCCTCCCGCAGAGACCAGATATATTGAAACAGCCCCGGTCCAGGTTGAACCACCCGGATCCGGAGCCACTACGCCTGACTTGCTGGCTATTGTCCAGCATTCCATGCGAACAGCAGGCCTTTCTGAGGAAGCTGCCGCCTTGGCAGCCTGTGGCCGGAGATCGTCTACAAGGAAGACATATAATAGCCGACTCCGACATTTTTTTAAGTGGTGCGACGGGAGGGACGTGGATCCCCTCTCTGCATCTGTAACCATGGTTGGGGACTTCCTCCTCCACCTGTTTAATACAGGGCTAACATTGGCCACAGTAAAAAATTACAAGTCGGCCATGGCTGCAGTGCATCAAGGTTTTCAAGATGGCTCCTCTGTATCGAACAACCTGGCACTAGGTCAACTGCTTAAAGGCATGTTTACGAAACGTCCTCCTCAACGTAAACTTATCCCAGCATGGGATTGAGGAGAGGTCCTACGTACCCGGGCAAACCCACCCTATGAACCTCTTGCGACGGTACCATTGTTGGATCTGTCAGTCAAGGTAGCTTTCCTCCTCGCTGCTGCAACAGCTAGGAGACGGAGCGAACTCCATGCATTGACCCTGGACAAGGGACACATAAGATGGGAGCCGCACGGAGTACGTCTCATCCCTCGAAGTACTTTCCTTACTAAAAACCAGTCTCCTAACTTCCAGCCTCCGGACATCTTTGTCCCTGAATTGAAATCATTATCTTCGGTCCCTGAAGATAAGAAATGGTGCCCAGTTAGAGCTCTAAAATGGTACATAGCTCGCACAAAACCCATCCGCGGTGGGGAGTCTCAACTGTTCATAACTTCGACTCCTCCTCACCGCCCAGCATCCCGTGACACAATTTCTCGATGGATAGTTACAGCTATCCGATCCCAAATGCCAGACAGTCCGCTGAACGAATCCAGTCGGACGATTCATGCTCATGATACAAGGGCGGTCACAACATCATGGGCACTATTGCGGGGTGTTCCTCTGGAAGAGATAATGCAGGCAGCATGCTGGAAATGGCAACGACCTTTTCGTCATGTTACCTGAGAGATGTCCTCCTAACAGAGGGGCGGACTGGGCGGGTGACGATGTCAGCCACCATGCCATCAGCTGCCCCAAGACAACCCTCCAAGGAGGTCTCAACCCAGGCTGTTGTACCAACAACTCAACAGTAGGGTGAGTAAGGCTCATGGTAGTTTATAATGTGCCTTTGTGTAGTCCATGAGGGGATTCCTTATTTGTGTGTCCTTTGACTCAATTGCAGCCCACTCCCACCACCAATTTCGGTGCCAGTCTATGCATTTATAGGTCCAACAGGTAAGTAGGGAACGAAGTGGACAACCCCCAAACTATGGTGTTTGGTTGTCCACGAGGGGACTACTTACCTGTTGGACCGTCCCGCCCGCCTTTCCCCACAGTGGGCTCCTCCTTTGGTGTGATTCACTCGCGCTAAAGAAAGAGGACGATAATGGCGGGGGATCTGACTATTGTGGGCGCTGGCGCAGGAGGGCGCTGTGGCACGCTATAGCAAATCTTTACTTTAGCGGTTAATTTACATAGTTAAGGAAATATGCATTTATAGGTCCAACAGGTAAGTAGTCCCCTCGTGGACAACCAAACACCATAGTTTGGGGGTTTTTTACGGCGCAAATGGTTCTGGAACTTAATTTTCTTTACTTGATTTTTTTCGTGTCAGAACTCTAACCATTTATGGAAATGCATATGGTTACGAAAAAACGTCTTTCATAAAAATCCGAGGGGGGGGGGCAGGGTGCCCCCTTGCCCCCCTCCGGGTACGCCACTGTCATTTATTTTCTTGCACGACGTCGTTTTCTATGAGTAGGACCATGGAGGAATAAGAACACAGGACTGGGAGCAATGAATGATTGACCATTGGGAAGTCGTGGCGCCCTCTGTGGACTCTGCATGCCAGAGCATTAGAAACGCCACGAGAAAAATCGCACTCGCTCGCAGGCAGGTCGCGTCGGCTGGCAAATTGCAAATGTTGCATTTTTATTGTTCCTAGAGATGAATAGTATTTTTTACACAAGAGCTTATAATTATTTTCCCCTATTTCATTTTTTTCCCAGCTGATGATAACTATAAGAAAACCCGACAAAGAGCAATAATATAAGTCGATAATTCGAAATAGGCCTACAGGTGGTGCAAAAAGAAGGAAACCCACTTTCGACAGCACTCGTTGAGCGCATTTCAAAAATTCAATTTAATGGTAAGTGTCGAAAAACTGATTGCAATGCATATTTTATCTCTGAGATATGGTAGTTTATAGGTTTTCCCGGCCAATTTCAAATTCATTTTCGTCTGAATTTGAGAATCGCTCTGAACACGCGTTTCATTTTCGCTACCCTGCAGAGCGCGGATTCCATTTCAGTTCAATGGTGATTGAGTAGCACCTTTCGTTTATCATCCATTCAGATTTGTTCGGACTTCTTTTTCTCGCATTTAGATGGCGATTTCAACCATTCACCATTCTATTTCACTTAGGCCCCCTATGCCATATGCACCAGATACAATTAGCGGTTTCTTTTTCATGAACCGTCAATCAAATTAGCTCTACCTGAAATGAATGTACAAAAGGTATGCTTGCGTAAATGAACGGGTAACGTAATTGGCCGTCTGTTTCTCAAAATCGATTGCACGCAGTGAAAACTATTGCACTTTTGTTGAATTGAAATGGAATTAAAGACGTGCATTCAAATTCAGACGAAAAGAAATGACCGATTTTCAGAAGCGAATGAACATTTCATAAAATTGGCCAGAAAAACCTATAGTTCATGTGCCAAAGCTGTTTGTCCACGGACAGCTTTATTGATTCCATCCGCTTGACTGAGTTCCAGAGCTTGATTTGAAGACAAACAAACTGGTGACTTGTATTCAAATTAGCATAATAACACTTTTCTTACGAATTTTTTTCACCAAGGTTGAGGCGCTATACTTCACTAAACCAGTTCAAATACGTTAAGTAAGTAGGTTAAAATTCCTGTCAAAAGTGATTTTCCTTCTTTGTGCACCACCCTGTAGGGCCAAATTTTGGTCGCATTTGTCCATTCTGTTATACCCAGCACAGGCCAAAGAGTTCAGGTAACATTAATTTTGTTGAACAAAAAAGTGCAGTATCTTTTCCGCTTTGTCTGATCTTAAAAAAAAAAGTTACTCCACTCTGTTCTGCTTCTAGTTCGGCCGCAGCATTGAGTGAAGGCTTAAATGCGACTCATTTCCACCGTGCCGGCAACCTCAATAATTTATTCCAAACATCAAGTCCTAACAAAGATGTGGAATTGAAAAAAAGGGGTGAAAAAAAGGAATGGCTTTGGATCTAACGTAATCATCAGCAACTCTCTGAAAAATATTATTCTCTCACCTTTTTGCGGCGCGGCACGTGTTTCCCTTCTCGAGCTTACGATACGGATGAACGCACTTTTTGAAAGGAAGCTTAGAGCGCAGAGAAAACAAATCTGATAGACACCATTATAAACCCACGTGGCTGTGAGTCAAGTCAGAAAATTTAGAATTGTACAATAATAATATTGCGATTACCTACTTGTAGATAACGGCTGATGTATGGTTTTCTCATTAATATTTTTTCGTCAGCAATTTGCCACGCCCACCCAACTTATACACAGAAGATACGTAGTAGCAAGCGCATGCGCTTGACGCAAGGAGAGAATTAATTTAGCAGCCATATCAAACATGGCGATCGGTCAAAATGCACTCTGATGTGTCTGTCGACAATCCCAAATTTAACAGGATACTGGTCATGACAGCGCGAAAATTTGGACCACGGAAGTAGTTGAAGGTGCTGAGTAGACTCTGAGGGTACTGTAGAATACTGCAGGGACCATGTTAGACCCGTCTTCGAGCGAAGAAGAGTCGGAAAATGACACATACGAGGATGAAACGGATGCGCTGTCCGTACCGAGCCAGGCCGGGCTACGAACGAGCGCATCCAGCAATGACAGCCTGCAGACCAGCGGCGCTGTCCCCGGGGCTGGTGGTCATCGGGCCTCCGTGGTACGGCCAGCGAGTCCAAGTCCATCCTTGATCAGTGAAAAGGAGCGGGAGGAAACAGAGAGATTGCAGCGGGAAGAGGAAGAACACAAGAAGCGTCTGCAGCTGTACGTGTTTGTCATGCGATGTATTGCCTACCCGTTCAACGCCAAGCAACCGACCGATATGGCCAGGCGACAGACCAAAGTTACTCGGCAGCAACTTACCACCATCAAGGAACGATTCCAGGCCTTCATCAATGGAGAAACTCAAATAGTAGCCGACGAGGCGTTTTGCAACGCCGTGCAAAACTATTTCCAGGTGTTCCTGAAGAGTGACCGGGTCTTGAAGATGGTGATGAGTGGTGGCTGTTCCTCCCATGACTTCCGGGAAGTGTTCAAGAACAATGTGGAGAAACGCGTCCGGAGTTTGCCTGAGATTGACGGCCTGAGTAAAGAGACTGTTCTCAGTTCTTGGATGGCCAAGTTTGATGCCATCTATCGAGGCGAGGAAGACCCACGCAAACAGCCACAGAGGTTATCGACAGCTGCTGCATCCGAGCTCATCCTGAGTAAGGAACAGTTGTATGAGATGTTCCAGAACATCCTGGGCATCAAGAAGTTTGAACATCAGCTGCTTTATAATGCATGCCAGGTGAGATTGCAGATGCTGTGTGAGATAAGGTTTGCACTGTACCACGAGTACCTCATTACATGTTTTTTCCATCATCATTATTTCTTAAGAATGTTTTACCTGTTCCTCCCTGCTTCTCATGGCCTTGATATTGGTGATATACCCTAACGTGGCGCGGCCCCTAATGTGGCGCACTTTGATTTTTCGCCTGTAGACCCTAGCTAGAGCAAAAGTTTTAACATAAACTGTTCTAAACACTCCCGTTCATAAATCACAAGTTTATCCACCCGTCACAAAGTTATATAAATAATTTATGTCGGCTTGATTTTCCAATTTTATTTCGAAGTGCAGAGTGAACCCTTTGAATATAATGTCCCCCAAAAATGAGAAAATAATTTTCTGACAAACTTTTACTTGGGTGTGTAAGTAGGGGGAGGGAGCTTTTGATAGGCGCATAACTAGGGTGTTAAACAGGGGGGGGGGGGGGGGGGGGGTGTTGCAGCTGCATACATTTGTCCAGGGGGGGGTACTGAAGTCAAATGATTTTTTTTTTTAATTCAAGATTTAAGGGAAAGAATGTTGCAACCTGACGCCACTTTTTTCTTCATATCATCGCAATCAAGGTCATTCATCGCAAAAATAATCTTGGACTGAGAAACATTTTCAATTTTGTTAGGAAATACTTTAAAAAAAAATGGTTGACTCTCCATAGACTCTGTACACAACCGCTGAAGTGGCATCAGGTTAATACATTCTTTTTTAGATTTTAAATTGATGGGGGGGGGGGGGGACTCAGACATCTGCACGTACCCCCGCCCCCTATAAACAGAGGCTGTCCAGCCAAAAAATGACTGCCACTCCATAAAGATATAGTATATGATGAATAAATTGTTGGCCTGTTAAAGTGAGCTGACGTGGGTTTAGGAGTTTGGATTTGCATGTGAGACCTTTGCTTGACAGTGAATTTCAAGGTACATGTGTATGTGTTGCTTTGTATACCATTTACTGATTTTGATATTTCCCCTGCTCGTTACCCCTAGCTTTGGCATCTTCATCCAAAAGGAAAAATATGGTCAAACTTGTCAAAGGGTGTTTAGGCCATTTAAAATTATTTTTAGGTTTACATCACTCAGATTGAAAAAAATTTGGTCGGTAGGGAAATTTATATTTGATAAATTCTACTTTTCAACAGTCACACGGAAAATGGCACTTCGCTGAATCACTACAAACAAAAGCATTGAGACCTCGAAAAAAAATCATGAGAGCAGAAAAAAACATATGCAGAAAGACTCAACAGGTTTCCTTTAAATGAATCTCTTCATTTAAAATTTTGATAGTTTCGATCATTTCCAACGCTGTTTGCATCAGAAATCTTTACGTCCAAGTCTTTGAAATCTATTCGGGCATGATTCGGACATGAACCACGCTGGCTCCTGCCCCTTTCATTATTGTTCTTGGCTCTTGCTGTTATCTAGCTATGTCTAGTGGTGGGAACCAGTGTCTGCATGACGCATGCATTTTATGTACACCATGCGACAAAAAAATCTGGTTAATCATGATGAAAACGAAGTTGCCCAAATTTGTATTAAAAAAATACATTTTATTGGAGAAAATACACACTTTAAAAAAAAATATAATATTAAAAAAAATTGGGACGGAAGTGAAAATCAGGGTGGGTGGTGATGAAAACCAAAAAATTCATTTTAAATGGTCTAATGTAAATAAAAATTGCCTAAGATCACAATATCCTGAAGGGCTACGCAAAAGAAAAGTAGTTCAAATGAAAAGGATTTTAATGAGCACAAAGAAAGTTTAAGTGTATAATTTAAGTACAAACAATGGTCTGTGTCTGTTTGCGTCTTCCACTCTTGAAAAAGGGGAAGGGGGGGGGGGGGTCTGCTCGCCCGCAATGCGGGCACCCCTCTGTCCACGAATGAAATGGGATGCTGGTACTTCCAACGTTGATGGTGTGTTTCTGTCGGACCCCCTCCACTCCATCCATTCCCCCCCCCCCCCCTCCCCTAATTCCAAAGTAATTTCCTGCACAGGAAGAAACTGGATGAATACACGTCTCATGAAATTTACTTTGGTGATAGTGACTCTCTAAAGGCAAACTTTCTGTGAACACTTAACTATGGGCATGCCTGAAATACATTGTACATGTACATTTGTATGTATCTCGATGTGTCTGTGCTCCATGTTTGTTTGTTCCCCCCATCATCCACATACATGTACTAGGGCGTAGTTTCATGTACCGGTAGATGCTGCATATATGGATAGCAACTCAAAAATGTGCCAAGGTGTAAAGTTCAACTTAACAAGATCACCACTGCATCCTGCATCACTAGCTGAATAGCTTCCTATCTGCACAGAGCATACAAAGTGCCCCAGTTTTGCACAACAATCTCTGTATTGTTGTTAAAGCTATAGGCCCTAGTCCATCATTTGCAGCCATCCGAAAAAGTAACTGGCGTATTATTGTTGAAAAACATACTTGGTTGAAAGATAGTAAGTGGGCTAAACTCCCTGTGAAATTAATCTTTCTGGCAAGCTATCATTTTGAAGTAATCAACGAAAGAAGGTCTTTCCAACGGTGCGTCGTAAGACACACCGTAGGAAAATTTAAATTAGTAGTTTGTTTTGTTATTCGGTGCAGCACGCGCAAGCATTGGCAAGACGCAAAGGGGCGCGCGGTTGCTATAATTCGTCGGATCAGTGCGCGACATCGCGTATAGCTGCAATTCAAAACATGATTCAGCAACTTTTGATTTGAAATAGAGATCCTAGAATGCTGTTTTTCTCGGAATATGTTGCTGAAACTCAGCTGAAACTTCATCAGGTTTGTTATTCAGTATCCTTCATTAGATTTTGAACACTTTTTTTACACAAATTACAAATGATGGACTATATCTTTAAAGGAACATACCGGTATTATCATCATTTCCCATTACTAGGGCGTAGTTAGATGCTGCATATCACATTCGGATACGTACTTGGATAGCAACTCAAAAATGTGCCAAAGTGTAAAGTTCAACTTTACAAAGATCACCACTGCATCCTGCATCACTAGTTGAATAGCTTCCTATCTGCACAGAGCATACAAAGTGCCCCAGTTTGGCACAACAATCTTATCTCTGTATTGTTGTTAAACACTGTAAACTGTGGATTTTCTTTTCTCCAACTTTTTTTTAAAGGAATATATTATCATCATTTACTCTTTCTGTATTTTTTTTCGTTTGAAGGAACACAATTTGCACAATTTCTTAAGTAGAGCACATGACAACTAACCTGTTGAATATCTAGCTCAGTGGATACTACTTTGTAGAAAACACAGAAAACATACCGGCGCGATGTACACGATTTTTGGGATCTCGAATTAGGAGTTCGTCGCAACACCTTCAATTAATTGTTTTCTTCCGATCAAACCTTCTTCACTTTGAGAAAGGTTTTTCTAATTAAATCGGTAGATACTTGTACTTTGTACCAATGTTCCTACCTGCCTTTAAAGGGAATGTACAACATTTGCTTTTGCTGAAATTTTCAGAAATAAATGGATTTGGCGGATTAATATGTTATAGAAAGTATTGTTAAAGGGAATATACATCATTTGCTTTTGCTGTAATTTTCAGAAATGGATGGAATTGGGGGGTTGGAAATATAAAGCAAATATAGTTACACTGACTTTTTGGAGGTTTTGGGTTCGAAAATGCTATAAAAACCAAGAAAAACGATCATTTTCCTGTAGTCTGGTCCCCTGACTCCATATAAGAAGAAACAGAGCAGTTTACATACATTGGGGAATTGTAAGGTCAGGGAACCAGTCTAGCTGGCTCGTACCCGTTCATAGGTTTGTAATCGATTGCAAACAAGTGCAATGGTCAATTGGGGCCAGTATTTGAAAAAAAAGCCAGTTGTTTCCAACGCTGATCGGCCGATCAGCGTTGGAAATTGATACAAAAATACCACTTTTCTTGAAAATGACAGTATACCAGGTGCCATAATTTTACAGGATGCTTTAGACTGTCATTTACCAACGTCCTATTAAGGTATTTCGCAAAAACTTGGTAGTTTTATTTTTCGATGTTTGCAAATGTTGTATATTCCCTTTAAACTGACTTAATTCACGTTTTGGGCTTGTAGATGCTGGAAAAACCAAGAAAACCAATCATGTTCTTGTAGTCTGGTTCCCTGACCCCACTTAAGATGAAACGGAGCAATTAATACTCTTTGGGGAATTGTAAGGTCGAGAATAAGTCTAGCGCAGGCTTGCACCCCTTCACAGGTACAGTATGTAATCAATTGCAAAGAAAAGTCATAATAACTTAATATGAAAAAGTAGGAACAGTTTTTGAAAAAAAGCCAGTTTTCTCCAACGCTGGTCGGCCGACCAGCGTTGGAAAAATACAGTTTTTCGTAAAAATGTCAGCACACCAGGAGCCACGATTTTAAAGGATGCTTTAGACTGTCATTCCCTAACAGTTCAGTAAGGTATACGTGATAATTTGAACATTTAGTTCTTTGATGTTTGCAAATGTTGTACCGGTATCTTCCCTTTAATGTACATTGTACTTTGTACTGTACATAATTCTGTATATTATGTGTGCATTTTCCAGGTTATAAAATGTACAAAATCAGGCAGAATGCTGATAGATCTTAGTGTGTGTGTGTGTTGTGCAAGCACAGGCATCTTTTTGAGTTATTTTTTTCAGTGTGTGCATGTACATGTTGTACCATGGTAGTACAGACTACCAGCATTCTAACATAGTCAGCGGTGCAGTAATGTGATGGTTTCCAGCTATACATTTATGCTGGTCTTGTGGTTTCCATCAGGGTTGATAGATTTGAAATTGAAATCACTTATCCCATAATTTTGGACATGTACCGGTACTGTCTCTGCTATTTTCAAGGTTCACCTTGAAAAGTAGGGTTTTTTTAAGGTAGAGTACATGTAGATCATTTACAGCTATCCAAAAAGTAACCGATGAAATTATTGTTGAAAAGCATACTTGCTTTAAAGATAG